CGCCAGTCGAACGCTGATTGGAGCTGAAAAAAATAACTCGGCAACGGAGAAGGAGTGCCTAGCCATAGTATGGGCGATCAGGCAAATGAGGCCCTACCTGGAAGGATATCAGTTCGACGTAATCACGGACCATATGGCACTGAAGTGGCTCAACAACCTCGAGAGCCCGCTTGGAAGAATAGCGGGGTGGGTGTTCGAGTTGCAGCAGTATGACTACGTCATCAGCTACAGGAAGGGTAAGCTGAACGTGGTCGCCGACGCGCTATCTCGCCAGCCGGTGTTGGAGCAGTTAAGAAGAACCGTGGATCTGGAATTCCAAGAGTGCGTGTGGATAAACGCGTGAAAGGAGAAAATGAAGGCAAGCCCGCAAAAATTCCCGGACTACGTCGAAGAGGGCGGCTTGATGTACCGCCACGTTCCGCATAGAGCAGGAAGCGAGGAAGTGGCGTCATGGAAGTTGTGCGTGCCCACGGAGTCGAGGCAGCAGGTCCTCAAAGAGAACCATGACGCACCGGCGGCAGGACACCTAGGCGTGAGGAAGACGATAGCGAGATTGGCCGCCAGGTACTTCTGGCCAGGGATGCAAGGAGACATCCGGAAATATGTCAGGAGATGCGAAACTTGCCTAAAATACAAACCATGCCAGATGCAAGCAGCAGGACAAATGCTGACACAGGTCCCGGAAGAGCCATGGGCAACGGTGTGTGCGGACTTCGTGGGTCCATTGCCAAGATCTAAACACGGGAATACAATGGTTTTGGTAATGATGCACCGGTTTTCGAAGTGGACGGCGATAGTGCCACTGCGGAAAGCAACTACCGAGGCACTGCAAAAGGCAATCAGAGAAAGGATTATCGCTCGGTATGGAGTTCCGAAGGTGATGGTAACGGATAACGGCGTAAAATTCACCAGCCGCAGCTTTAAGAAGTTCCTCGGGGAGCTTGGCGTGCGCCACCAGTTCACCGCACCATATACGCCCCAAGAAAACCCAACAGAAAGGGCGAATAGAACGATCAAAACGATGATCGCCCAGTTCGCTGGGGAGGACCAGAGGCCTTGGGACGAGCACTGGCCAGAGCTCATGCTGGCAGTGAACTCGGCAGTGTCAGAGTCGACAGGATATTCGCCTTGCTTTGTAACCCAGGGCAGGGAGCCCAGGATGCCAAGAGCGTTGTTCGACGAAAACGCGTTAGGCACAGGAGTTGGGCAAGGAACGCCCACGGAGAACGCGACGAAGTTGAAGGAAGTCTTCGAAATAGTGCGGAGGAACATGGAGCGGGCGGCCCAGGACCAGGCGAGGCATTACAATTTACGGAGACGGAAGTGGAGCCCAAAGGTTGGCGAAACAGTGTGGGCAAAAGAGCACCATTTGTCGTAGGCGGCAGAGGGATTCGCAGCAAAACTAGCCCTACACGGTCGTCAATTTCTTTTCGCCGGTAATTGTCATCATACGGCACGGAAGAACCAACAAAGAGAAGAGGGCACACTTGAGTGAGCTGAAGTGCCAAGACATGGGATCACCGGCGAAGGAGGAATAGAACGGCAACACTAAACCTGCACAAGTGCACAAGAGGACTGCACAGTGAAAAACGGGACATGTCCAGTAACGGGAGCCCAAACTGGTCCAGTCACGGAACAGTAACGGGGAATATCCAGTAGCGGGAGTTGGATGTGCTATAAAAGGCGGCGGCTGGGAGGAGCACGGTCTATTCAAAAATTCTAATCAACGGAGCAACATGTCCAACAAGTCCGAAGCAACAATGATCGTCTCGTCCGACGAGAGCGATCTGGAAATCGTCGGCGATCCCACCTGGAACGGAAGAAGGATGAGGACGGAGTGGGCGATACAACGGGCAGTAGGAGGACGGAGGCACATACCGGTCGGTCGCGCCACTGTGGAGGAGCGGCGCCGGAGCAAGGCGCTGGAGCACAGAAAGAGATCCGAGAGGTGCCGCCAGCGAAAGGAGGCGATGGTCACCATCTCGGAGATGGCGAGGAAAAGGGCCCAAAGAGCACAGGAGATGTGTAAGGAGATCGACAGGGAGTGGAGAGACATCAGGAGAGATGGACGGGAGAGAGCCATGAGGAGGGCGATGTCAAGGAGGATGCGGCTGCGACGGGCAAGGCGGCTGGTGGAGGTCGCGAAAAGGAGGGAAGCCACGAAGAGGACCCGGCCAGCAACGCGGTGGCCCGCGGTGCCACCAACACCACGACCTCGATAGGAACGACCGGAGGAAAGGGAGGTGGCAACGGCCGCCAGAAAGAGGCAACAGGAGTCAACGTGGCCTGCGGCACCACCTACGCCACGCCCAAGGAAGGAGGACAAGGAGGAGGAGCCGTGGACGAAGGGGCGCTGGGAAAAAAAAAAAAAAAAAAAAAAACAAAAAATTAAAAATTAAAGATTATTAAAGAAAAAGAATATAAAAAAAAAACAAAAAAAAATAAATATAAATATATAAACAAAACAAAAAAAAACATGGAATAGGGTACATAGGCTAGGTGCTCTAAAAGGGTCCCAGGGGAGCGCACAGTCGTTTTCCGAAGGAGGGGGGAAGTGGATGGGTATTCACACCAAAATAAGAGGGTAACCGAGAATGTCATTTTTTTTTTGGGGCCCATGTTCAGCATAGCGCATCAACACCGATGTCCAAACGGCTCTGTCGTTTCCCGAAGAAGGGGGAAGTGTGAGGAGATTTGCGACGACGAGTGCAACGGGCCCTGGAAGCCCACCGGTGCACCACGCACCAGCAGCAGAGATCCGTGGCCGGGGGAGACGAGGGGCCACGGACAGCGACCCACCAACGCGAAAGTGGCGTGTTTCTGGAAGCAGGATTAACGGCAGGAGCAGAATCCAGGAGGATTAACGGGCGCTCCAGTCAGTATAAAAGGAGGCCCATTGGAGCGGCTCGAGACGAGTCTTTTTAGGAAGCTTGTAGCGTTGAGTTGGAGGACCGCCTGTGGAGAGTCCGCCATTCAAGTGTTAGAGCATTTCTAAAAAGGATTCGGTTTTGTTTGAGTTGAAGGACCGCCTTTGGAGAGTCCGACAGCCAAGCGCAAGGAGAGCGAATAAGACAATAAGGAAAGGATCCTGTTGTGACAAATGCCGTTCATGGGCGTAATGTCATAGTTGAGCACAGTTCTGCTCGGGGGTTTTAAATCCAAACGACTAGACACAATTATGCATTGAACTTCATTTTATTTACTTGCTTAATTTATGTTGATTAGTTTTACAATTATTTAAATGGGTCGGCCTTTATCACGCGTGGTTCCCTCTGACCTTCACTACTCCGATCGCCTTGCTTGCTCTATGATTCTTCTTATCATACTAATTTTACTAGGGGAGAGACCAGACAAGGAAAAGCTTTGCAAAGATTACAGAAATCTGGGTGGATTCTAAGCTCGCTGAAGATGGAGCGATAAATCGAAAAGATAAATAACGCCCGTACATGCCGCCCCCGGAATGCTGGGATCAGCATGATATAGCTTCAATTGTGTTATTGGACTTCTTCAGGTTTCGGAGTAGGATTGGTGGATATTGGCAATGGACATAACTTGGACAGGGATCTCTTATAAGTTCCAGAAACGGTTTTCAGTGAGGCGACGCGAACTAGTCCATCTTCTCTCAGGATGTAAATCGATAATTCGAGCCATCTTCCATTCGTTTGGAGGGAGCCGGTCATCCTTGATTACAACTAGATCGTCAATTTGCAGATTCGTTCGTTCTTGGCGCCATTTCGGACGTGCTTGTAGATGTGAAAGCCAATCGGCGCTCCATCGATGCCAAAATTGTCTCAGGAGTCGTTGACCGTCGACGAAGCGTGCGTTGATGGACTTGTCTGAAAGAGAAGGTTCCGGAGGTACCAATAAAGGTCCTCCTATAAGGAAATGCCCGGGAGTAAGTGGGGACAAATCGTTTGGATCTGCTGATAAGGGGCAGAGTGGACGTGAGTTTAAACATGATTCGATTTGGGTGAGCACCGTGGATAGTTCTTCATAGGTCATAGCAGTGAGTTTGAAGGAACGATACAGATGAGTTTTGACGGCCTTTACGTTCGCCTCCCACAGTCCCCCAAAATTAGGACTGTGCGGTGGGTTGAAATGCCATTGGATTCCGCGAGCCGTAAGAGTGGGTGCGATGTCCGTGTCGATGGAATTTCGAAACTCCTTTTGCCAGATGCGAAGAGAATTGTCTGCTCCGATGAAATTGGTTCCTCCATCGCTGTATAGATGCTTGCACAAACCTCTACGTCCAATAAAGCATTGAAGAGCCCAAAGGAAGTGTTGAGTAGATAGCCCTGTGACCGCTTCTAGATGTATCGCCTTGGTTGCTAAACATATAAACACTGCGATATATGCCTTGTATGTGTGATGCCCACGGAATCTGGATGCTTTCAAGTAAAAGGCGCCCGTGTAGTCGACGCCAGTGGCTTCAAAGGCTCGACCAGGTGGGTTGACTCGATGTAGTGGCAGATCACCCATTAACTGTGAGGCAGGCTTTGGGCGATGTTTGAAGCATTGGACACATTGTCGTAGAATTCTTTTTACTGCTTGTTTCCCATTGACTATCCAGAATGTGTGCCGAATAGTTGCTAAGGTGAGCTCGGTGCCTCCATGAAGAGTGTTCAGGTGCGCATTTTTGATTACGAGGTCAGTAAAATGATGCACTTTGGGGATAATGATCGGATTTTTCTGTGCTTGAGACAGTTGTTGAGCGTTCTTCAGTCGGCCTTTGAGTCGCAGAATTCCAAAGTCGTCTAAAAACGGGCAAAGAGCGCTGAGGGCACTGTGCCTGGATAGAGATTTTCGTGCCAGGACTCGGCTGATCTCTTGAGAAAAGGCTTCTTTCTGAACCATCCTTACGATTTTATGTAGAGCTTCTCGTAATTCTGGTACTCGAATCGCGCCCACATGACGAAGTTCTTGTGGGTGGCGTAAGTTATGCAGATACCTTTGGATGTAAGCCATAACAAATAACAATTTGTTATATGATGAGTAAGAGGTTAGGATTGAGTCGCCCAGTGAACAAACATGTGCTGTGATGTTGGTTGGTTGTCTTCTTTCTTCGTGATGTTGGTCAGGGGAGGGGAGCACGTGTTCTTCGGCCACCGATTTTCATCCTGCCGTAGCCAATCGGGACCGAACCACCAGATGTCATGCCTGGCTAGTTGGTGAGGAGTAAGACCCCTTGAAGCGCAATCGGCTGGGTTTTCTCCCGAAGGTACGTGCTGCCATTGGGTTGTAGTACTTAGTTCCAAAATCTTGCCAATTCGGTTGGAGACGAAAGTCTTCCAACGGGTCGGATTTCCTTTAATCCAATATAGAACGATTGATGCATCAGTCCAGAAATTAACTGACATGGGAATTCCGGTGGATGAAAACTGCGTCAGTACCCATTTAGCCAGTTGTGCAGCCAACACTGCACCAGAGAGTTCGATTCGAGGTATAGTTAGCGGCTTCGTGGGCGTGACTCGACTCCGTGCTGTCAATAGGGCCGTGCTCACTCTCCCGGATGGATATTGTATTCGGAGATAAACACAGGCTGCGTAAGCTTGCGAGGAGCCGTCACAAAAGACGTGTAGTTGGTGTGACTGTGGCTCACCGTTCTGGTGGCCAAGCCACCGAGGTATTTTCAACTGTTCAATGTTTGGTAAATGATGTCGGAATTCTTCACATCGGGCTTGAAGTATTGGGGGCAACGGGCCGTCCCAATCGAGAGCGGTTTGGGTTTTGTCGGAGGTCTCGGGTCGCCACTGCCAGATGTCCTTTAGAATACTCTTGGCAGCAGTAGTGACAGGAACTATAAACCCTAATGGATCATAGAGGCGAGCGACTACTGAAAGAAAGGAACGTTTAGTAAAGGAGGCAGGAAGGTCAAATCGAACCTTGAAGCTATATAAATCCTCGTGTGGGCTCCAATAAAGTCCCAGAGTTTTAATAGTCTCCTGGAAATTTACTTCTACATGTCTCTTTTGAGCCATGTGCTGGTCAGGAATTCCGGATAAGATCTGTGGATGATTTGATGCCCATTTCCTGAGTTCCATTCCAGCCGATTTTAGTGTAGCAATAAGTTGATTTCGTATTTCCAATGCTCCATGAACAGTATTGTGACCAGTTTGGACGTCGTCGACATATACTTCATTTAATAAGACTGGAGTTGCTAAGGGGTAGCGATGTTGTTCGTCGTGAGCGAGTTGACGGATTACGCGTATGGCTGTATACGGTGCTGATGCAGTCCCAAAGGTGACAGTATTTAGGCTGTACTCGGCTATTTCGTTTTGATCATTCCTCCATAAGATGCGTTGAAATTGAGCATCCTCCTGGTGCATGTCGATACAGCGATACATTCGTTGGATATCTGCTGCAAACACGTAACGATGTAGCCTCCATTTCATGATGACTCCTCCTAAATCGTTTTGTAGCGGTGGGCCGATGCACAATATGTCGTTAAGGGATTTTCCGTTCGAAGTGGTACATGATGCATCGTACACCACCCGAACTTTGGTCGTTGTACTGTCCTCCTTTATCACGGCGTGGTGTGGGAGAGTACATGATGAGAAATACTGTTGACCTCTTGGAGTGATCATTTGATGTCGAGTTTCTGCGGTAGTGACTTTGGAGAGTTGCTTCAGATCAAAATATTCCTTAATGGTTGAGTGATATTGTTGTTTAAGTGTGTCGTTTCTGTTTAGCCGACGTTCTAAGAGATGGAATCTATTGAGTGCGATTTGGTGAGACTTTCCGATGACTTGTTCTTTATCAAATTCAGTTTTTAACGGAAGCCGGACCAGGTATTTTCCATTGGGTTGTCGGGTGCAGGTACGCTGGAAATGATCCTCACACCATTGTTCTTCTGCAGTTAAGGTCCTCTCAGAGCTGATTTGATCGAGATCGAAGAAACCCTTTACCAGTGCATCCAGATTAGTCTGATGGCAACGAATGGTTACCACATTTGCCCTTGTTTCATTGCTATGGCCAAACACGATCCAACCCAATTGAGTGAGTTGAGCAATAGGTTGATTTGAAGCTCCTTTCCGTAAATCTGGCAGCAACAAATATTGTATTAGATCTACTCCAAATAACGCGTCGATGCGGCCTGGCCTGGTAAAGGTGGGATCGGCCAAGTGCAATCCCTGAAGATGCTGACAAGTGTCCACGTTGACATTGCTTCTTGGTAAGTGAGAGGTTATCGAGTTGAGGACATACGCTGGTCGCACCAGATGGTGAAATTGAGGGTCCGTACATGAGCTTATGGAGAACTCTGTACTAAATCTACAGATATTCTTTGAGTTATCACCGACCCCGGTGATCTGTGCTGTGACTCGGTGACGTGGAAGTCCCAGCAACTGAGCGGCACGTTCTGTGATTAACGTGCCCTCAGAGCCATGATCGATCAAGGCTCGAATAACGGCAGTTTGTCCGGTGCTGTTATTATGTAGTTGTACTAGAGCTGTGGCCAGCAAAATAGATCGAGTTGATTGCGCGGCAGTGGCCATCAGCACTGTAGTGGAATCGGAAGGGTGAGCAAGATCGGAGCTCTCGCTTGCTGCGTTCTGAATAATCGGTGATGGGCTGGTATACGTCGTGGGGAAGTGAAGCAGGGTATGGTGACGCTGTCCGCATTGTAAACAATTCTTGTTACTGCCACACTGCGACAAGGGATGATGGATGCTGAGGCAATTTAGACAGGCCTTTGTATGGTCAATGATTCGTTTGCGGGCAAAGCAATCCTTGGACAAAAAATCAGGACACCGCCGCAAAATGTGTTGCCCCTTACAGTGTACGCAAGAGATGGGACCGCTGGGTCCAGTCGTGGTGTGGAACGTGCTGCCCTTGTAGAAGCCGGAACCCTTTTGCTTGGGATTCTGGCGTGGATAATTTGTCGATTTGTTGACCGTAGAGTTTTGCGTGGGCTGTGAACTTTTCCGGTTCTCAATGATGTTCATGCTGACGAGGCGATTGTTGAGGAAGGTTTCCAAGTCGGTGAAACTCGGAATGTCGCTGGAGTTTCCCAAGCAATGCTCCCAGGCTTGTACAGTTGTCGTAGGTAATCTAGCGATCAAATGATGGACTATCCATTGCGTGCTAGATTGGATATTCGTTTTGAGACGATTGAACTCGTTGATGCATACGTTGGTTACGTTCAGCATATGTTTGATCTCTGATGAGCTTTCCCTTGAGATAAATGGTAAGTCGTAGAGGGCGTTCATGTGGTGCATGAATTGTAAACGGGGGTTATTATAGCGTTTGATGATGAGATCCCATGCGATTGTGTAGGCGCCATCCGTTAGTTCCATTTGGTGTACATCTTGGTCCTGCTCTTTAGGCAGTGCTTGCTTGAGGAAATGGAATCGTTGAATATTTGACAACGCCTGGTTCTGGTGAATGAGTTGCATAAACAGATCATGGAAAGCTGGCCAATCTGTATACTTTCCGGAAAAGTTAGGTACTGGCAACTTTGGAAGTTGGACTGCCGCACCAGGGCCGAGCGTTTTAGGAACAGGCGTCGCTTGTTGCTCGGCGCACGCTGGTAGCTGATTGGGGAAAAGTGTTTCGGACTCCGTAGATATTAAACAGAACGCTGTGATAAATTCCTCTTCGAACTGGTCCGCTAAATTATCGACGAAGTAAGGGTGTGTGGGGTAGCCAGCGCTTACAAACTCTTGATGATTCTTGTTGAATTGCTGGCTTATTAAGTTGAGTTTGGAAAGGCGCAGTTGGAAATAGGGCTTAGTTTTCCGAGACGTGCTGTCCTTCTTGAAGTTTACTTGGAGTTGGTTGAGCTGATTGTGAAGATCTTTCTGGAGCGCAAACAAGCTGTCGGCGTTGCCACCGTTTGCCATTGTTTCAGACTCTGCACTGGAAGTGCTCGCTGGCTTGGGCTTGGTCATTTTGCGTATGCACTTACACTTACGTACGTATCTTCCAAAGTGAGAGAGCGACAATGGGCAAGCGTTTGCGCGACACGTGCGATGCAAAGTTTGATTCCGTTATTTTCGCTGCTTCTTTGTCGAAGAGCATAAAGGAGTTGGAAAGGAGAATAATGGTTCCGTGATGAGATTAGGTTTCCATTAAATATTTGATGGAAATGTTGGAGATGACCATGGATTGTGGAGTCGTGTGTGGATTGTTCCCCTCATGGGCCACCAAAAATGTTGTGACAAATGCCGTTCATGGGCGTAATGTCATAGTTGAGCACAGTTCTGCTCGGGGGTTTTAAATCCAAACGACTAGACACAATTATGCATTGAACTTCATTTTATTTACTTGCTTAATTTATGTTGATTAGTTTTACAATTATTTAAATGGGTCGGCCTTTATCACGCGTGGTTCCCTCTGACCTTCACTACTCCGATCGCCTTGCTTGCTCTATGATTCTTCTTATCATACTAATTTTACTAGGGGAGAGACCAGACAAGGAAAAGCTTTGCAAAGATTACAGAAATCTGGGTGGATTCTAAGCTCGCTGAAGATGGAGCGATAAATCGAAAAGATAAATAACGCCCGTACAGATCCATTGCTGGACCTTCCTCTGGAAACCCAGGGTCGTGTAGTCGAGTTGGTTCATTCCCGACCACGGCAGGTAGCCTTGCAAGAAAGTGAGGAAAGGATAAGTCTGGCGTATGCCTTACCGACTCCTGAAATCATAACCAACAGGCGTGGTCCTGCGAGACAAGGATAGACCGAATCGAGATCGCACGCCCGGTGTACACGAGACGTAAAGGACGAGACACAAGACAAAACCAGGGTGGGGAGACCGAGTTGAGCCACTCCCGAACACGGCAGGTAGCCTTGCAAGGAAGTGAGGAAAGGATAAGTCTGGCGTATGTCTTACCGACTCCTGAAATCATAACCAACAGGCGTGGTCCTGCGAAACAAGGAGGCCTACTTGGGATCACACGCCCGGTAACCACGAGACGTACAGAACAAGGGAGACAAGGATCCGTTGCTGGACGGTTTCCTCTACAAGCCCGAGGCGTCAGAGCCGAGTTGAGCCCTTCCCGAACACGGCAGGTAGCCTTGCAAGGAAGTTAAGAAAGGATAAGTCTGGCGTACGCCTTACCGACTCCTGGAATCGCAACCAACAGGCGTGGTCCTGCGAAACACGGATCGGCCGACTCAAGAACTCGCGTCCAAGTCACAGACCTAGTGAGAACACCCTGGTCACCAGCCCCGCCACTACAAACTCGGGTCCGCCGGCGCGTATGCACTATGTCCCGGTGAAGCGGGAGCGCGACATACGATCAGGCACACGGCAGCTTCCAAACCTGGCACCGGAGCGTATGCACGGTGTCCCGGTGTAGCGGAGGCGACCGACCGCAGCCAACCGTCAGATCAGTCGTAGTCGACCCAAGGGGGTGTTTTCTCAAGGCCAAAGGGCAGAAGGTAGCGGAATCGCTGGCAGCGCGGCGACAGGAGTACCACCGGCGACGGAGTAACGGCGGCGACGGAACAGCGGCGGCGTATACCGTACAACCCGCATAGGACGCCGACGACGGAGCCAACAGGAACGGAAGGAGCAACGAGTAAAAGAGAAAGAAAGCCTTTTGTAGTGTAAAGAGGTCTCAAAATAAAGAGTGTGGAAACTTCAAGCTATTTGTATTACTTTCTGGGCTTGGGCAATCACGTCGAATCTATAAATTCGGTGGAACGGATCCGCGAAACTCTGTGAGCTAGCCGCGGAAAATTGTGGCGAGCGGCAGCAGAAAAGACAGTTCGTTACAGAACAAACGCACCAAATGGTTCCGTTCGTGAAAAAGCTTCTGTAGCTGGGAAATAATGGGCTTCTTCAGCGAGGTATTGATTCCATAACGTGCATCGACTTCAGCACCATCATCACCAATGAAGTACATTTGAAAAAATTTGTGGTCGCTGTCTGAGAACGGAAGCAGGGAACCGGCTTTGTGATAGATTTGTCCTATGATTTTAAAAGTTGGCATGAATTGCGCACTTATAATTTCCTCACCAAATGACGTCATTTGGAAGCAAGAGTTGTATTTCCTAATGTTCGAAAGGAAATGCTTCGATTCAGCAGTAGATCCAGCGAATAGAGAGTGCAGACGCTCTGGTGGTGCTTCAAGTTGATGCAATTTCACTTTCCCGGAAGCGCAACACAATCCTTTTGGTTCGTTGTTGAATTTGAGAGCCCGACAGTGTGTGCAGACCTTATGCAAACGGCCAATAACGGTCCCAGCAACAGGGAGAAGAGCAGGGATCGCATGGTGCTGTCTCTCAAAACTAATAGGAGGACTATCCGGAGAAGAGCAGCAGTTGACGGCAACCATCGAGGTCGAGGGCACGGAGGTGAAAGCCATGCTGGATACAGGAGCGACGGCGAGTTTTATATCAGAGGACCTAGCAGAGAGCCAGGAAATAGCCGGGAAACGAGTCGCGATAAAGAGGCGGGTAGAGTTAGCCAATGGAAGCCATACAGAAACACGCGCCGCATTACAGGCTCGGATAAGCTTCGGCAACAGGACAACAACCCTGAACCTGCTGGTGATGCCAGGCATGGAGGACAGTCTGGTGCTGGGATGGGATTTCCTCAGCGAGTTTGGCGCAACGGTGACATGCGCAGGCCACCGCGTTACCATACCCAAAAGGGAGAGATGGGGCGGATGTCTGGAGGATAGACTGTCCGTAGCAGTGTCCGGATGTCCAGAGGTATGGGAAGACGAACGCAATAAGAGATTTATCGAGAGAGAGCTAGAAGCGTTCGCCGGCCAAAGAGGATGCTCGAACATAACTCAGCACAGGATCACCATGAAGGACGACATTCCCATAAAACAGCGATATTACCCCAAAAACCCGAAAATACAGGGGGAAATAAACGCAAAAGTGGAGGAGCTGTTGGAAAAGGGATGCATTGAGCCCTCGAATAGCGCATACAGCTCACCCATTGTAATGGTGAAGAAAAAGACGGGTCAGTGGAGAATGTGCGTGGACTTCCGGCAAATCAACGCAAAATCAGTAAAAGATGCGTACCCAATGCCACGAATAAATTTCATATTGGAGCAACTAAGGGAGGCCAGATTCTTCAGCAGCCTCGACTTGAAGGACGGGTATTGGGAGATCCCTCTGGAGGAAGGAAGCAGAAAGTACACCGCCTTTACCGTTCCAGGGAAGGGTCTGTACCAATGGAAGGTGATGCCGTTCGGGTTGCACGCAGCCTCGGCAACATTTCAAAGGGCCATTGACCAGGTCATAGGGCCGGACATGGCTCCACATGCCTTTGCGTATCAGGGCGATATCATCGTGATCGGACGCACCAAGGAGGAACACATGGCGAACCTAAGAGAAGTGTTCAGAAAGTTGAAAGCAGCAAACCTGCGGATAAACACGGAAAAATGTCATTTTTTCAGGCAGGAACTGCTATACTTGGGACATAGAATAACGAGCCAAGGGATCGGCATGGATCCGGGGAAGGTCGCTGCCATTACAGAGCTGCAACCTCCGACAAACGTCAAGGGAGTACGACAGTTCATAGGGATGGATTCATGGTATCGGCGGTTCGTCCCAGATTTCGCAAGAATCGCGAAGCCCTTGAACGATCTGCTACGAAAGGGGACGAAATGGGAATGGACCCCCAAGCACCAGGAGGCGTTCGAGACCCTAAAAGCACGGCTGGCGGAAGACCCAGTACTGGCGTGCCCAGACTTTGAGAAATGGTTCGTGCTGCAAACGGACGCAAGCGACTACGGCGTCGGGGCGGTCCTGACCCAGGACACCGAGGAGGGCGAACGAGTGATCGCATACGCCAGTCGAACGCTGATTGGAGCTGAAAAAATTACTCGGCAACGGAGAAGGAGTGCCTAGCCATAGTATGGGCGATCAGGCAAATGAGGCCCTACCTGGAAGGATATCAGTTCGACGTAATCACGGACCATATGGCACTGAAGTGGCTCAACAACCTCGAGAGCCCGCTTGGAAGAATAGCGAGGTGGGTGTTCGAGTTGCAGCAGTATGACTACGTCATCAGCTACAGGAAGGGTAAGCTGAACGTGGTCGCCGACGCGCTATCTCGCCAGCCGGTGTTGGAGCAGTTAAGAAGAACCGTGGATCTGGAATTCCAAGAGTGCGTGTGGATAAACGCGTGAAAGGAGAAAATGAAGGCAAGCCCGCAAAAATTCCCGGACTACGTCGAAGAGGGCGGCTTGATGTACCGCCACGTTCCGCATAGAGCAGGAAGCGAGGAAGTGGCGTCATGGAAGTTGTGCGTGCCCACGGAGTCGAGGCAGCAGGTCCTCAAAGAGAACCATGACGCACCGGCGGCAGGACACCTAGGCGTGAGGAAGACGATAGCGAGATTGGCCGCCAGGTACTTCTGGCCAGGGATGCAAGGAGACATCCGGAAATATGTCAGGAGATGCGAAACTTGCCTAAAATACAAACCATGCCAGATGCAAGCAGCAGGACAAATGCTGACACAGGTCCCGGAAGAGCCATGGGCAACGGTGTGTGCGGACTTCGTGGGTCCATTGCCAAGATCTAAACACGGGAATACAATGGTTTTGGTAATGATGCACCGGTTTTCGAAGTGGACGGCGATAGTGCCACTGCGGAAAGCAACTACCGAGGCACTGCAAAAGGCAATCAGAGAAAGGATTATCGCTCGGTATGGAGTTCCGAAGGTGATGGTAACGGATAATGGCGTAAAATTCACCAGCCGCAGCTTTAAGAAGTTCCTCGGGGAGCTTGGCGTGCGCCACCAGTTCACCGCACCATATACGCCCCAAGAAAACCCAACAGAAAGGGCGAATAGAACGATCAAAACGATGATCGCCCAGTTCGCTGGGGAGGACCAGAGGCCTTGGGACGAGCACTGGCCAGAGCTCATGCTGGCAGTGAACTCGGCAGTGTCAGAGTCGACAGGATATTCGCCTTGCTTTGT